GTGAATTATAAGACAATAGGCTGCGGTCTCCTTCGGGATATTGTCATTAGTACCGAATTCCAGTCTAATGTCCACAGTTCCCGACTTTAGAACCTCATTCTGACAGGAACAATCGACGACTACCAGAGGAGCCATATACTTGTACGTATATGTAGTTAGAAAAGGCTCGCTATCCTTCTGATAGTATGAATGTTGAAATTGAGCATACATGTCATACAGGATGGCATAACAATTCTTTGAAAAATCCACATTCAAGTTATCGTACGGGTACGAATCGGAATTTAGAAAAACCTTGAAATTGGTCAAATTGCAATGATCAAACTGGCTCATGGCCTTATCAATCTTATTCTTACGGGCCACTTGGAAGCCGAAAATTATGAATCGAGGCTTCTCCAGCTGTGAAGAAGTTTTTATGCTCCAAGTATGTGTCCGGGTCTCGGTAAGCAAGGGGTACTCGTGCAGTTCCCAGCTACGGAAAGGCACAGCCAATTCTACGTTTCTGTCGATATATTTCAACAATTTCAAACGTTCCGCATCAGCCACCGATACGTGTGGCACCTTCCATGAAACACTCTGTAGTTGTACACGGAGACCCTCATCGTCGCCAGCAACGCCCACGATGGCGTTCGTATCAGTGGAGCCGCGAATAAGTACCAGCTCCTGTCTCAAATTGACGATAATTTTCTGGAAATCTTCCCCGAATCCCATGCATATCCTCAGAGGGATGCATACGTCGAAATTGCCCTCGGCATCGGTGAAATGGTCGCTGATAATCCAGCCGGCATTTTCCAACTTTAGGCTTTCATTTTGACTGATTGACACGTAGTTCTTCATGATGGTCGTGAGGCCAGGGTTTCGCGATCTATCCACAGGTATACCATTCAACTCGTATCGGATTTCGTCGAACAGCAGCAAAATGCCCATCCTGTCGAACTTTGCCGTCGCCGAAACCGTGCCATCAGCTTTGCACAGTCTACCTCTGATATACAGGAGACTATAATATGGAGCCGTATACGTATCCTGCTGCTGAATCGGGATGAGGATTTCATCGTTGTTGTTCTAGTCGCCGAATACGGACCGTGGGAACGCTTCTCGAAATTTACTATGGCGTTATCGAAGAGCGGCTTCTCCAACACGTTTAGAATATTAGAATTCATTGTGACGTGGCAGTAGCACTTTGTAGCCCAGAGAGTACAAAATTTTCTTGTTTTGCGATGTGAACCCTTTAAACGTCACAGGTAGACTAATTGATTTCGCTCCAGGTGAGGCTTTTAAAGGTTTTCGGCTGTGACCGACGACAGCGAGCCCAAAACCACTCTCCGCACCCCATTCCTCTCCAGGTGCAGTCTTATCGTGATGACTTCTCCACGGAAATTGATCAAATCCCCGTCTTTATTCACTATTTTAATGGTTACACCCTCGATGCGACGCTTGTTGACCGGCAGGTAGATTACGTTGGCAGAATAATCTATTATTTTATAGCCAGGACTAGATAGGCTACCTTCGTTCTACGCCAAAATCCCATGTATTTTCTTATAAAGATTGATCCTGGTCATTTTTGACGAATTTTACCCCCACTCCTCCTCCTTTTCAATAATAAATTAAATAATTTACAATAACTGAAAAAATGACCCAAAAACAATTAAACAGTGATTAGATGAATCTTTATCGAAAAAAGATAAAGGCAATTTACTAGAATCATAAAATCAAACCAAAAATCAGATTGATTTTTTTTTATTTAAAACCAGCAAACAGTTTTAATGTTAGTGTTAATTTAGCAGTTGAGCAAAAACAATAGCTACAGGGTCTTTATAAAAAGTTACAAATTATTCAACAACAAGATGGCGGCTAAAAATCTAAAACATTAATTTTATAGGCAGTTGAAAGTCTAACCAGGACAGAAAGGCATGAATTTCGGCTACAGAGGCATGAAGTTCAAAACAAGATAACAGAATGACAGAGACACGAAGAAAGAAGGCATACGAAGGGTAAGTTGCTAGATTTTTCTGCATTTCAGATCGCGTCGTCTGTACCGATTCAATACACAGTTAAATATGCTGGCTTGATACGGTACCCGTGTCGTGTAGGGGTCTATCTTAAACGATTACCTAAGGGTAATCATTGGATTTTTCCTTGCCAACGAAAAAAGGTTTCAGCCACACGCGAAAAACTTAAATCCGCCCGTGAACGCGAAAGGCCTTCGGGCTATCGAAACGATAAAAATGGCTGTCTTGTGGTTAGGGCAAATTCAAAATATAATTGTTCGGTACCATACTCTTAGCGCAATTCAAACATCTCGACGGCAGTGTTTCAAACTAAACAGATCCGTTGCGACTTAGAACATAATTGAATGTTATAGGGTCTTTCCTTACAATTAAAAATTACTATTGACCCTTTACATTAAAAATATTCAGATTTTATTTTTCATAAAATAATTTTTTGCCACTATTTTTTTAGTAAAGTACAGTTTGACGTCATTTTTCATAATTTTTCCATATTTAATTTTTCTATATGTAATTTTTTATTAAAGTACAGTTTTAGTAAAGTATAGTTTTGACTTAATTTTCACATAAATAATTTTTAATAAATAATTCTTTTGTTTTTTATTAAAGTTCAGTTTGACGTCATCTTGCATCTGAAAGTGCTGCCCCGAATTCTCCGGTTCAGGCGTAAGAGTAAATCTTTTTTAAATATAAGACTAAATTTTTCTATATTTAATATTTCGTAATTTTTCTACTTTTTAGTAAAGTACAGTATGACATTTAATTTTTAATAATTTTTCTACATACAGTACGTAAAGTACAGTTTTGGCGTAATTTCTACATAAAATAATTTTTCATAAAATAATTAGTAATTTGCGACTTGAAACAATTAAAAAAAAATACAAAAACTTACCAGTTTGGCTAAGGGAAAGCGGCAAACGGGTCCAGAGGGCGGCTGCAGAGGCAGGTAATGGGGTGGGGGCGGTTCTTTGATAGCCATAGGGGGGCCTCACAATAATTAGTTGGAAGCCCCCGGCAACTCAATTCCACAAAAATATGTTCGCACGTATGCGCACAAACGAAAGCGTTATCTATACATACCCCTTGAAGGCGACAACCCTTATCTTATTAGGACTGGTATTACAGACGCCAAGGGTTGTACTCTCCCGCATGAAAGCGGTACCTGTCACGCTAACGTGAGGAAGAAAGTCGACCACCAGCCCAAATTACCATCTTCTTAGCTTCGCAAGCACCACCTCCGTACACCTCAACAGATCAGCGAAGAATGAACAAGTACCGACATGTCTCAGCTAGTTAGTAACTTACTACGCGTATAAGGTGACACGTGTTTTCAGCATCTTTCAAGCAGACATTATTATCAACTTGTATCTCGATTTAAATTTTAAATACGAAAACGTTTCATACTAGGCTGAATCCTCAATTTAACACTGATTCTAATGGCAAAGACGTACGAATCATAAACTTTAAGAGGCCTTTTTAGATATCAGCCGTTATAATACGTCACAGGTTCGAGATTAGGAGAAGGTTTCGAGATTATCAGCGGGGTATAAAAGCCGGATACATCGATATATCTGGTCTTTCCTTTCGTGCTTATCTACCAGTACGCTGTTTTGAGTCTTATCTCCGCGCTGTTATCATATTTGAAATAATTATCAGTTTTTAAAAAGGTGTTGAAACGTCTTCAATAAAGGTGAGTTTTTTAAAATATGATGTGTCGCATATCAAATTAAACGTCTTGCAGTAAGATAGTGGGTTTCATCGATTTTTTTCCATTTGTTCGCGATCGATGATATGCTTGCCCAGTAGGTAGAAAGCACCCACCATCTTTTCGTTTTACTCACTTTCAAAATATTTTATTTTTCTCGTGTGAATCACACCCTATTTTTAAACAAACACGTTTTAATCACGTGACCTCTTTTCAGGCATCAAAATTATATCTCACCGACATTAGTTAGCTGAAAGATAATAACTATGCGTCTCCTAACGCCTTCTAATCAGTTTATCATCAGTCTTTGAAGTGTGTAGCAAGCCCACCCTGTAGTCAAGAAATGAGTGCGGGAACGAAGGGGGGATTGAATCAGTGTAGTGTGGGGTGGTACCGGGTACCCGACGACGTTGGAGGGACGGAGTGGCAGTTTCCAGCGGACAGTAGTATAGTTAGGAAGCGCTGGCAAGTGAGCTGGCCGTAATATGTTATGTTTTTGTATTTGTGAATATGTTCGATAGATAATTGAAGATTATATCTTATTTTAAGTTCAATCGCTTCTTAGATTCCACCCAAGAACCTACCCCACGTCCCTGAAGCTGCAACGAAGGCGGCAGGTTACAAGTTATAGCATCATGGCTGCATCAGATATTCTGAAGTATTTGTATTACCAAATATGTACCCTACTCGGTGTTTTAAAACAATCATATTGTGAAGAAACCGTTAGAGATGGACTTCGGCAGTGCACGAAAGCTGTGCGAAATATAAAAGATCAGTTGAAAACTGTCAAGACAGTCGGTGAAAAGCAGCATCTATTGACACAGCTGGCTCAAATAAAATCCTTTAGATGTCAGTTTAAGTCCTTAAAGAAGACGGGTGCCAGCTGTTCTTCCGATCCAAAGAAAACCGCAAAACATCGTGTCCATTGGGATGATTCGGCTAATGCTTTCGATAGCCGTATCCGCACAGGCGTAATATCTAATTTAAAGCATAAGGACCCCAAGTAGTTCCTCAAGGACAGCTTCGCACTCTTCAAGCAACGCATTGCTAACGTGTTGAAGAAGGAAGAGGCAGTGAAGGTCAACTCGGCATTCAGCGGACAGACAGGATTCTGGAGGAGCCTAAGTATTTCACAATAAAAAATTCACCCATTTATCGAGACACCAATCTAGAGGCGTGGTTTCAAGAACATATAGTGATGCCGATTTCTACGGAGCTCAATGAATTCCAAGAGCGTGATAGCGGCTGGGCGTTGAGCTCCATAACCAACTTGGGGATCAACATCAACAAATTCACACCACAGCTGAGGTCATCGTACATCGACTNATAAGTACCAGCTCCTGTCTCAAATTGACGATAATTTTCTGGAAATCTTCCCCGAATCCGATGCATATCCTCAGAGGGATGCATACGTCGAAATTGCCCTCGCCATCGGTGAAATGGTCGCCGACAATCCAGCCGGCATATTCCAACTTGATACTTTCATTTTTGCTGATTGACGCGTAGTTCTTTATGATAGTCGTGAGGCCGGGGTCTCGCGATCTATCCACAGGTATACCATTCAACTCGTATCGGATTTCGTCGAACAGCAGCAAAATACCCATCCTGTCGAACTTTGCCGTCGCCGAAACCGTGCCATCAGGTTTGCACAGTCTACCTCTGATGTACAGGAGACTATAATATGGAGCCGTATACGTATCCTGCTGCTGAATCGGAATGCGAATTTCATTGTTATTGTTCAAGTTCGTCGCCGAATACGGACCGTGGGAACGCTTCTCGAAATTTACTATGGCGTTATTGAAGAGCGGCTTCTCCAACACGTTTAGAATATTAGAATTCATTGCGACGTGGTGGTAGCACTTTGTAGCCCAGAGAGTACAAAATCTTCTTGTTTTGCGATGTGAACCCTTTAAACGTCACAGGTAGACTAATTGATTTCGCTCCAGGTGAGGCTTTTAAAGGTTTTCGGCTGTGACCGACGACAGCGAGCCCAAAGCCACTCCGGATTCTAAGCCCCATTCCTCTTCAGGTGCAGTCTTAACGTGATGACTTCTCCACGGAAATTGATCAAATCCCCGTCTTGATCCACTATTTTAATGGTTACACCCTCGATGCGACGCTTGTTGACCGGCAGGTAGATTACGTTGGCCGGAGAATCTATTATTTTATAGCCAGGACCGACTCTCGGGAAAAATTCGTGTAAGATGTGACCCGGTTGACCGTTAATGAAACTGTTCGAAACGAGATTGCACTCCACACAAATGGCGTTGACTTTTTGAATTTTAATAGGATTATTGGATTCGTGAAACTTGTTCGCCTTTAATTTACGGTTTTTATATCCCAATAATCTACCTATACTGTTGGGTTTGTTGAAATTAATTGTCGTGTTTGCTTTAATTTCACACTTTAACGTATTTTTATTGGATTTTATGGAAACAAACACTAAATTATCGGGGAGATTAGTATCGGTAGCGGTGAGCTCGGCTAAATTACTATTTATGTATGTATTTATATCTTCTATCTCGTAGGATCCCTCCGGTATTTTTATAACTTTATCAGCATCACCGTAATAGAAACGATTATTCGTAGAATCAACATTCGGTATGGAGTGGTAGGCTAGAAAGTCCGTAAGCCCGATTACATATTCAGCATCGTCCTCGAGCTCAATAGGCGGGTAAAACTGCGAACTCAGAATCGATGAATCACCCGATAACGTAAGCGTATATGACATATCAACACACACGTGCACTGTTCTGCTTGGATGACTCACGCCGACTGACCGTGACTTTATCAGCGTGACTCATTATATAGGAATTTCAGACACAGATGTCCACAATTCACCGTATCATACGTCTGATATTGTTTATGATTATATTTGACGCGACATGACTTTAGATATTTTAATAATTCCACAGGCGGTCTCAAATTACCGAAACTATCGAAATATACGGCTTCAGGTCCTCTCTTGTAATATGCCGTCCAATGAGTACCTGCACCGCTGTCACTGTCCAAATTCAGGATCCCGCACTCGTTTTTGTGTACATTTTTAGGTAATCGATCCCTCATATAGACGCCTCTGAAGTGTGGAATTTCCAATAATTTTACATATTTAAGTAAATCTTGATCGGTGAGAGCGCGATTCGGTAGTTTTTCTAGTCATTTGCTGGCTTTCTTGGTCTTGTTACAACACTTCTTCTTCTTCGTCTTATTCATATACAGTCCAAGTCCTTGTCGATAGGGGCGTAGGTAGAGCCCTTTGCCGAGAGCTATTGCCTCCATTTTTTCGTTGTGACGTTGAGATTCCTTAAGCTGGGTGGCTGCATTCCGAGCATCGTTTACAGCCTTGGCGATGCCCGCAGCTCCACCAGACAGGGCACCGAGAGCGCTAAGTCCCGCAAAAATGGGAATCAGAGGCAGGAGACCGCCAGTCTTTGGAATTGGAATTACGCGGGCCTTTGGATGTGATATGCCTCCGGTGGAGGCCTTCTTCATGCGTTCGGCTACTCGAACAGCCTTCTTCACGGCATCCTCAACGGTGCTGGCCCGACGTACAGCTTTGCGAATTTTATCAGAAACTTTGCGGAATGTTAGAGCCCCGCCGGATTTTTTCACAGGCTTCTTCCTCTTGGGCTTCGCGATCCCCCAGCCCAATTTAACTTTAGCAGCCATGGCTCCGGCTACTCCCGCAGCGGCTGCCCTCTCAGCCAGTGAGGAATCTTTCGCGAACACCCTCTTCAGAGCTTGATGGGCTAATTTTCTGTCTGCTACGTTTCTGCCCGCCACGTCGGACACTTTAGAGTACTCGATATCGTGGTCTTTGCATGCGTTATCAAGGCCGTTTATGCCTTCGTCACCGCGAGCAAGCCTCTTGGCCAACTTGGTGCCGGGGCCACAGAAACGATACCCGGGAATATGCGCTTCGAAAGGTAACTTGTTGATCAAAGAATTGAAAAGTGCCATGTTACCTGTACCACACACGTGAACAAACTAAGGTGCGCCAGGTGAGAGCTACCTATTTATAGTCGATGCATACCTGTCTTTCTGTCAGTATTGACCATGCGCTTCAAGAAAGAAGTTGCGGCAGGTGGCAGTCTCGAAATCGAAAACATCGATTTCGTGGACAACGGCGATAAGCAATTCAAAAAACATGGACCCCTGCTACCACATAGTCTTAGATGTATTATATGTGGACCTTCGAACTGTGGCAAAACGAACGTGATGATCGGTCTGCTGACTCATCCGAATGGATTGTACTTTAAAAATGTTTACGTCTACTCGAAATCGTTGTATCAGCCTAAATACAAGTGTCTGGAGAAGGTGCTCGATTCACTTGTTGAATACAATCAGTTCAAGAACAGCGACGATATATTAACACCAGCCCAAGCTAAATTGTACTCGGTGTTTATCTTCGATGACGTAGCATGCGATAACCAGAGCCCGATACGTGACTATTTCAGCATGGCGCGGGTTCAGCACATAAACGGGTGGATTGTTTCTATCTCTGTCAGACTTATATGCGTATACCGAAGCACTTGGTGAGACACAATGCCAACTTTATGGTGCTATTCAAGCAGGATGACCTCAATCTCCGGCATGTTTATAACGATCATGTGAATACAGATATGAAATTTGAGGATTTCAAACACATGTGCTCCTTATGCTGGACAGATAGATATGGGTTCTTAGTGATAGACAAGGATAGCGACATTGCCAGCAGTCGGCGCTACCGTAAAGGCTTTGATGAGTATATATACCTGTAAAGGTGTGCATTATCATTAGTCATTCGTTAGCCGTGTATCATTATGGACGCGACCGCTACCACCAATAACATTATCAAACCCGAAAGTCCATCAAACGAAAATTTGAGGCTCTCAAGCGTCATGATCAGCTGGTTGAAAAATCTTTTGCACCCATCACGGCCCCACTTCGAACGATTGCTACGAATATCAAACAAGTATCAACACTTAGTCGCAGCTGTCGACCTTGCCCATCGTAAAACAAGAGATAAAGAAGTCCGAACCAAAGAGTGAGATAAAAGAGACAACGAGTAATGCCGATAGCGATAACTATATGGATCCCGACCCCATCGAGAGGGACGGCGGTATCGAAGAATCCAATTTTGAAGAGAAATATCTTGAGAAATTCCACGATCTACCTAAATTTTACATATCCGGATCCGGACTGGTGCATGATACTAAAGATAGCATTGACGTAAAGTATGGAATCAGATACAATCTCGACGAAGATGACTTCTACATCGGAGATTCTAAAGTCCAATTCGTTGACGATAATGTGCTAATAAAGGACAGCGAATATGAGGGAACGAGGGGCCTCTTTGAATTGTTGTTTAAGAAGCGTCCACTTAAAATTTACACGAGCGACGATGAAAAGAAATATGCTGACATCATTAGAAATACCAGTGCCAACAGACTGTCTTATGACTCATCGAAGCCGATATCGGGCGGAAATAGCTGGAAATATAAATATGTCATAAAGCCGATTCTTCAAAGGCACCGACATCGCGGTGGCGGCGGCAGTAAGCTAATGATGAATGTCACAGATAACGCTATCGACTACGTGTACTGGAACGATCCCAATGAACTTGTGGATCGACTTAGGCTTTTAATGGCCTCCCAAGAAGCGGGAAATTCCAATCACGTAAATGAAATGAACAGCATCATCGAGGAGCTTCTGGAAGCCAAATTAATTGCACCACGTGATTAATTATTGATTAGTTTGTGTGGGGTAGCCGTTCAGTAAACATGTCAGCTGTAAAGAGGGATATTGTTAACGAATTACATAAGCCTGCAAGAGTTAATTTTAATAGGCGAAAGGTAGTAATTCACGGGCTAGATGATCTCTTTCAAGCCGATCTCGTGGAGATGATACCATATGCTAAATTCAATAAAAATTATCGTTATATACTGGTTGTAATAGATGCCTTCTCAAAGTACGTGTGGACGGCTCCACTTAAAACAAAATCCGGCGAAGAAGTTGCTAGTGCTATGAAAAAGATTCTCGGTACTGATAGTCGAATACCTCGTAATTTACAGACGGATTTGGGCAAGGAATTTTATAATAAACACTTTCAAGCATTAATGAGGAAATTTAATATTAATCATTACTCCTCGTATAGTAGCAAGAAAAGTTCGATTGTGGAACGTGTTAATCGGACACTAAAATCCATAATGTATAAAGAATTCAGCTTTAACGGTACCTTTCGCTGGTACGATGTGTTAGATAAAATTGTGAAAAAATATAACAATACCAAGCATAGGACCATTGGAATGAAGCCCGCGTCCGTGAACAAGAGCAATGAAAAGATACTTCAGAGTTCGGTTTATAATTATCCAACGGTTACATATTCACGTCTGTCAAAGTTCAAAGTAGGAGACCGGGTGAGAATAAGCAAATACAGAGGGGTGTTCGATAAGGGTTACACCCCTAACTGGTCCAATGAAATTTTCACTGTATCCAGTATTAAGAGGACTGATCCTGTTACATACTTACTGTCTGATGCTCAAAGTCAGCCAATAAAGGGATGTTTCTATACGGAAGAGCTGCAGAAGGTCAAGCATCCTGATGTCTACCTTATGGAGAGGATAGTGAGGAAGAAGGGTGATCGAGTTCTGGTGAAATGGCTAGGATTTGATAGCACTCACAACAGCTGGATTGATAAAAATAGCATTGTTTAATTTTTTTGTTATCTTGATAATGTAAAAAAAAAACAATTATTATTAAATATTTGTTAATGTATTATATATTTAATTTTTTATTATTAAGTATATATCACTGTATTTATTTAATTTAATAAATGAATTTAAAAATATATCAGATTTTT